AGATTGCTGTCACAGAAACCGAAGGATTCATAACTGAGGGCGAGACCGAAGAGAAAGAACCTAAAGTGAAATGTGAGGACGAATGGGAAGATGGGCAGAACAGAAAAGTGGCTGCAGGCATCAAACGCGAAGCCGAGGAAGAATTGATGAACGAGACACGACCTAAGAAACTCGCCAACACCGCGTTAAATAAGGGGCAGGCCACGAAAGAGCACACGGGGCCATCGCCGCGGAAAGGAGGCGGCAGGCAGAAGATCAGCGCCACGAGCAACAACAGCAGAAAAAGTCCCACCAAAGCCTCAAAGTCTGCGGGAACACAAAAAATTACAAAGTTTTTTGCAAATAGTTCGTGACTTTACTCGTGGTTATGAGGTCGCTTTGTCAGGTCTGTGATGGCTGACTAATCCGGGAAGTCAGAGTGAAGAGGCATCTTGAAGCCTTGTATATGGATATGTATCGGGCATCTGCCTGTATGTATTATTTAGTGCGTTTGATATACCTCCCCGAGTGATTGCTTGGGAATTTCTTGATAACCTAGCTCTTGTACTAGAAGTATTCCCTAGGGCTAACGATGAATAATGTATTATATGATTTGAAAGTTATATTAACTTTAGTTCTATGCTTCCCAAGATGCTTAAAGTCTATCTAGAGGAACCCTCAGTGCAACATTTAGCGCCTCGGCTAGTCATTGCGGATGTCTTCAACAAGCCTCGAGTTAAAGTCATTTTGCTGATTTACTTTCTAGAACAAAGGCCGGGTTTCTCCAGCGTTAGAGTTCTGACCTTTGTTGCCTAGCAACATGCATTCACAATACATCCAGTCTACCACAATGACTATTTGCTACTGGAAGCAGGTTTATCAAGATAGCCCGGAATATTATCCGCGAAGTTATTTCTAACACATGACCGTGTGATGTCTACCAATCAGGGCGATGAGCACATTGTTCTTTTCTTTTCCTTTTTTTGGTACAGAAGACATGAAGATCTCGGACCATACAGAAAATGCACCGTCTGAGGTCGGTTTATGAGTACACTACCCCGGACTACACAGCCTGAATCTGGTCATGGTCGGAGTATATATGGCTAGGTAGATGACGTTAAACCTGAATATAGGAGCTGACAAGCCATAATACCCTTAAAAAAGGTAGTTAAGGTAAATTAGTAGAGCAACAGTCTCTTTGTTTTCAAATGATATTGTGAACATACAACTGCTGTATAAATGTTTATGGGGTGTTATAAACATTCTTCTAACTCATAAAGGCACATATAACATGAGCAAACACGCAAGGATATTAGTCAGGTGCATTGTACTAGATTCATTGAATGCCTCCAAAGACTGCAAAGGCCTAGAATAGATCCATCCCCATTGAGGGTATTTGCTTAATGGTGTAGGCTATCATGTAGCCTGGTGTCTTGGTTCTATTCACTGTGCATGAGGGCTTCCCGCTTCCCTCGAATGATATTATGATATGCTATAGAGTATAGCTAACTATATATTAATTATATGTAATCAGCGCGAGCTTCCTAGACAATATGACTTTCAAGCCTAAAGTAGGTAAAGTGAAGACCTAATATCTATATGCTTTTCTATTCTTAGACAAAGTAACTTACAGAGAGGTCAGCGGATTTTCAAAAAGTCCTCCACCACCGTAGTCCTTGCGATATTGACAAGTAAACAGTGCCTAGGACGAACTTCAAAAGTAGGATGTTCTAGAACAGTCACAACTATAATTAAGCTTCTGGTCTCCAGGGTAATAAACTCTGTCTAGGACATTCATTCCTATTGTTTACCATACATACTAACTGTTTACTCAACTCTAATCGAGCGCGTCTCTGAGCAAATAAATATAAGGGGACTCCTGTCTCTCGATTGTTTTTGTATTTCCAAGAAATTCCAACTTCGGCTTCAGCTTCAGCACCTAGTGTCTTTAATCACAACTTCCGCAATCCTCATCCCTGACAATCGTCAACTGTAACACAAGTTTACTGTTGCTATACTTATTGTCAAAATACCATTTAAACACATTTTTATCTTTCTGACACCATCTTTTCGACCACATACACTACCTGCAGCTACGTCGCCTGCTATCAATAAGACCAGCTCTCCTCAATCGTGAACTTACCTTGACCACCCTTGGAAAGCATGGCGCGCCCCAGCCACCTCATTAACGGCCCTGGCCCTTGGATTTCCGAGTATGGTCGCTCGCTATACGCACAGCCCGCCGATATTACTCACAGGTATCAGGGCAACAGCCGATATCTGGCACAAGAGAGAGATGAATATAATGATGAGGCCGACGACTTCACATCTGACCACCTACAAGAAGTGGGAGGCGATTACAATAGTAGCTTTAGAAGAAGGCTCAATGGGTGTATCTGGGCTGACCTAGCTTCAGTTGAGATCCCAGAGGACGAAGAGGAGTTCTCCACGGTACTCTCAACTTTTTCTGCACCACCTCCGCTCCAGAGCTCTCTACTCAACTCTCCTTGGCTCCCACCTCCTAGCCCCCATCTCACGCCTAGTGTATCGCCTCCATGGGTGGACGATTACCACTATGCTACGTTGCCTCCCAATCTCGAACCCTTGGAGCAAATTCGGGGTGTCAAAAGAAGCCGAATATACGATGATGGCTATTACGGGAATGGTGAGGCAGAAAAAGGAGGAGAAGAAGAAGAAGAGGGAAGCGAAAAGGAAAACCCGAGGCCGTCGAAATTACGCAAATTGACGGCTAAGGATATCAAAGAGGAGCCCGAAGACACGGAAGAAGAAGACCCCAAGCCTCCTTCAGGGTATGCTTCTGACTCATCAGCTTCGGAGTCGGGTCGCGAGTACGACGGCTCAATGACTTTCTGGTACAAGAAGGAGAAGCGCCAGAAGTGCCGAAGGGAACGGAAGCAGAGGGCTGCTCACAGGTTACGACGGGCACAGGCGGTTGACGCACGGGAAGCAGCCGCTTTACCCGAGGGCCATGGAGTAAATTCATTCACTGCGGGACGAAAGATGAAACTTGATCCTCGCGCGTGGGCAAAAGCAACAGCATTACAGCGTGTAATGCTGACTTCATTTGAACGCCAACCAAGTCTCCACGATCCAACGGAGCTATACCGACGGGCATCCCTCTCGCTGAAGGGAAATGAGGGGGGTGTCTATGAAGAACCACTACTGCCCTCACCTGAAATACAGGAAATGCGACCGCGGGCTCCAGTATTGCTCATGGAGCCGCGTCAAAATTACCCAGCTTTATGGCCACCGTCAGCGCAGTTCGCACTCAAAGAGGATCCATTTAATGGATATATATCAATGGCACTATCAGCACCACTACGGGCTTTGACAGCCTTTACATCTTTTACGCCATGGGGAAATAAGCCCAGCGTCCATCCACCATCGGTATCGTCATCACGGCCCTTGACGTCTTCTGAACGGCGAGCAGCCAAACAGTATCTCAAAGTGACGGCAGCAATGGCACAACGAGCTTCGACATCGTTTGTCTAATACAGAGTGCACCTATGATAGTGGAGAACATGATGGAATGTCAGGTGAATAGGTAACGCCCCGGTGTATACCTATTAGACTTCGTCTATATATACAGGCTATCCCTCCCAACTAGCAGTTGGAAGGGCTAGGGGCTATGTTGACCAATACACCCTATGGCTACTGGCCCCTTTCTACCTACCTGCTATGTGACTGCGTAGGCTATCCATTCACTCTGGGACGGACACCCCTGACATTCACTCTGGGACGCACAACCCTGATATGGAAGCCCAAACGAGCTGTATACAACTACACCGGCCCTCTCGCGGGATGGGCTCGGTTCACGATTGGTCGACATCCGCAACCGATATGCGGCTTCGCTCTACTTTGCGCTTCTTCACGGCTACCGGCTGTGTCAGAGCTTGGATTGGTACTTATGTTCGGAAATGATTGTATTGGATGAGATTTTTGAAAATTTCGTGGGCGATTTACTTTGAGGGGTGGGTGGGAAGATGAACTTTTAGAATGTAGACTTCGCGTTGAACGAAGAGTCTGGACTAGGGAACTGTGACGGAGGTTTTTGGCGTATACGGAATACCCCTTGGATTTAATGTATCTCTGATGAAATCTATTCATTTTTACAATTTGGCTATTCCATCGTGAAACTACTTGAGATAAGAAACTTCGAGGCTCATCCTAGTACTAAATCAAGCCCTTAGTTACTAACCTGCCGTTTATTTCACTATTTAAATCAGTCCTTTTGGCTTCAGCATAATATCACGAGCGCGATACATAGTAGCTTTCACTGGGAGCGAAGCCTATTTATTGGCTGCTATTCGGCTGTTTATTTGGTTGTTATGGCCTTTATAGGCCTATATATAGATAAAAATGCCTCTAGAGTATAAAGTCACTCAAAAAGAGTGATGAAAAGCTTGACATAGAATTGTTAGTTCCAAAGAACTAGTTTTGCCTTCTTGTTTAACGTCCTCTTTAGATTTCCCCGATAATAAATAACCTTCCTAGCAAAGGTAAGGTTACCTAATGCTTGATCAAGCTGGAATTGAAATCAAGAATTACAAAAGCCTTGCTCTCATGTGGGAAAATTGTCTATTGTGACTAAAAAAAAGGAAAGTTATTCTTGTGTACCTAAGTGATGGTCCGAGATAGGCCATTACTGGCGAGTGTGACAATGGCCCGTGCCACCTCTGTTAAACCTTGTTGACTAACTTTCTTTAAAAAAAAAACACTACTATTTTCGAGCCTAATTATTTTTATAGAATCTCCGAGCAGATTCTAATACGTAGATAACTATTCTTTATCTGCAAAAGACAACGCATATTATAAGCTAAGAGACGTCTCGGGGCAACATCCTGGTAAACGATTAAATGGAATAAGGTCTTGGCATTACCACTAAAATCAATAGCCCCACTTTAGCCACAAAACCTACCTAGGTAGCTAGACAAACTTTAATATAAAAATTAAGTAAGAGGGACATTGGAGGAGAAAATTATTTATAAAAAAGCAAAAAACGACAACGACAGGACTCGAACCTGTGACCCCGAAGGGATATGATTAATATTATCAATGATATTTCTAGTCATACGCTTTAACCACTCAGCCACGTTGCCGATGTGGAGACAGGGAATCTTACACGTTCTGTATTTGATAGAACTTATCTAGTGTGATAGAAGGAAGCTAGGCTAGCGCTAACCCCTTTTCCTGCGCCGTCTAAAGGCTACCTCGCGCGCGAAGGGGGTCGGGGCGGGAATTTTCGTCGTCACCTCACTTCTCCTTCTCCCACGAAGGGCACCTCCCACGTGAGACAAATCTTAGTGATCGGGGTTCCTGTTATAATCTCAATACCCGTGAAGACTCTATGTAGCTTTGAGATATCGACATTGCGCTCAGCGTTACTCATGGGAGCAGGCCTTTTCTAATCTCTCATCTCAAACTATAGAGCGGGACCATTGGGTATCTGAACAGCAGCAGGAGGAGAGTTGACACTCGGCTACCCCAATCATCTACTTGTACCTTCTAAGGCTGATGGCCTTAATAGGCGTAGGTATGTTGTGCGGGATGGCAGACACTCAGGGGCGCTTGAGCGCATCGTAAATATGGTTTCTTGATACTGTAGAACGGCTTCCTAATAGTCTACACCAAGACTAGGTAATAGGCCAATAAAATAGGCTTCCTGTTCATGGTTTTCAATAAGGATAGCATAGAAGTGATTGAACACCTTGGATTTGATGTCAGAGGAACGCATACCGCCCATGATTATCCATCGAACATTAGGGTCATGGCTATGTGGTACAAGTTACGGATCGAATATCCAAAGTATTGTATTTTGGCAATACATCTTTCCGAACCAGTGCTCATGCACAATATCTTTTCTGGGGCAGAAGAACACGTAAAGAAAGGCTCTAATGCCCAGCGCGTAGGCCCAATGTTGCTTTGTCAGGGACTATGTAGCACCCCTGGAGTAGACCTATTGGGCTTCGTCTATATATTCAGGCTTTGCCCCCCAATTAACCATTGGGAAAGCCAGGGACCAAGAGACCAACACACACCATGGCTACTGACCCCATTTTACGTACCTGCTATGTGACTCCCTAGGCCATCTATTGTCAGGGTTTTGCGTCCCGGAGTGAATGGAATAGCCTACGCAGTCACATAGCAGGTAGGTAGAAGGGGCCAGTAGCCATAGGGTGTATTGGTCAACATAGCCCCTAGCCCTTCCAACTGCTAGTTGGGAGGGATAGCCTGTATATATAGACCCAGCCTGATAGGTACACACTAGGGTGTCACCTATTCACCTGACATCTATTTACTCTGGGACAAAACACCCTGACATTGCGACGATAACAGGTCCAACCTCATCGGGAAAAAAGAATGCCCTATCAATAACTCCCCCAATATCGATTCGGATATGGCATTCTAAGATTAATGTACCTTGTATCCTGTAAGCTAATTAGCTATTTGTCACTACGCGTGCGAACTGAGGAGTAACTGGTACTGAAGTCTGATCATGATCGGGCCCTCCTAGCTCGTTGCTGTGCTTCTCAAGTGGACTTGTGTGTAGGTCGTGCTCTCCAAGTCGACTGTATTCCAATAAGCTGGGGTATGTGTTCTTATCCCTAGAATCATTCGAGCGGTAGCTGAGTACTGATAGTGACTGCGGAGGTACTATAGACAGTGGACTCGGCCCTGGCTGCGGGTCATCTTAGAAAAATGATTTTATTTTCTCGAGTATAGCTCGGGCAGGACTGACTATGCATTAATCCTGTCCTAGGGCTTCTAAGTTCTAGGTACCACAAAGCCGATGCCCTACTAGAAACCTAGCTCCCACAATCGCCGTTATAAATTGGTGTGCTAAGATGGATACTATAAAGTAGTTAGAAGCTTCTTATGCCTGGTAATCGCATATAGATCGTGTCTCGGTTCTCCAGCCTCCAATCGCAGCATGATGAATAGTCTCTACAATGACTAAAGGTCAAGTCGATCACGATTGACAACTTTAGCGTGTCTGAGAAGGAGCTGGAGTGACGTGATTGCCTGGCTTGAACCCTTTGCGATGTTGATGATAACAAAATCTTGTTAATGTTCAGTAGCAGTGACGGACCCAAGTTGGTCGCATGTTTCCGAGTTTCTACTGTTACCAGACTCTGCTCCTTTTAGTTACTGGGGGGTGGTTGCAACATTAATAGTTTCAAGTCCTGAGAATTTTGCCTCTGAGGAACTCAGTAGGTCGTTCTAAGCCAGGCAATCCTCGTTATCCGAATATTCGAAAGGGGACTGACCGACAATACGTGTTGGTGGCAATGGTCAAGGATTCATTAGCTCCTTCGCTCTCATAATCATTGCAATCGGCCTAGAAATGTATTACTTAAGCTGGTGGGGGTTGGAGAGAGCGTGAGGAACACATAACCCGTTCCGTTTCAAGGTATTCCAAGACTTTGGCGACAGCGATAACCAGCGATCCGCACAAGCAAAACAATATTTGATTTGACTAACAAATAACTTGACCAGTTAAAACAAAACAATAAAAAAAAAATTATCTGAATTGTTTCTCAGATCAAACAGACAATTATTATTTTATTTAATTAATTACAAATAATTCAAGCAATTTCTTATATTTTTTTTTATTTTTTGCAGGGGTTTTTTAATGAGAAAAGGTTAGCTGTCAACTCAAAGGTTTTGCTCACTAATATAACCTCTACCTTTACCTATCTAATCTACGCCTACCTATCTAATCTACGCCTACCTATCTAATCTACCCCTACTAAGATTACCTAACTTCGCTAGCTATCCCGTGTTGACCGCGTTGACCGCGTTGACCGCGTTAGTGTATAGCCTGTATAGCTGTATGGCTACGAAGACATTCGAAGGCCTCTGGGCCACCATTCGGAGTGAAAAAAGGCGCTGAACGCTAAATTTTTGTTTGGCCTATATATTTGGCAAGTATCTGAGCCAAGTCAAATACGAAAACTAGCCATATCAGTCAAATACATCGAAATCAAGGCCCAAATCAGTCAAAATCAGTCAAAAGGGCTTTATTTGTTTTGTTTTGCTTGTGCGGAACGCTGGCGATAACGTTGCTTGCGGGTAATCTAATTGCAAATCGCGCGACCGGAACGTTTTGTTCTACTTGTTCTACTATAAGGATTGCCGCGTTTATAGTCTATTGAAAAGGCACCTACACTTTGCGAATACCATTGCTGATGATATAGGTTGATACTACTTAGTATTATTGATATAAATTGGGCGAAGGGAAGAAGAGGGTATATAGCTTATGAAGGGGTCGAACAAAAGAAAACTACACCTACTAAGTATGTGCGCCCTATACTACTAGCATTCCTTTGCTTGCTAAAATGTTACGTTAATCATCCCCCGAACGCCACGTAAAATAACCCTAACACACTATTGTAATAGTCCTTTGTATTCATATCTTCACATGATAAGTGTAAAGGCGTATTGCATACAAATGTTGGTGTTAGTATGGAAGCCTCCAGGACTGGAAGTTCTAGCATCCGAAACTGGAATCCCCCATACCACATTTGCCCCACCGGGCGGAGACCTTCGCATAAGCCTCAACCAACGAAGTTTGAACAAAATAAGTAATTGCGACGGCTGCGGTCATCCACAATGCGCAGGCCGGTGCGCGCCAAGCGCACCGCTAACGAATTGAGCTATTCGTCTGGGCTAACTCCAAAAGGGAACCAGAATAACCAAGGTGGCACTTGGTTATCATTTAGCATGGCTTCAAGCCATAACTGTTAGTGAGCAGAAAACATTATTAATTTTATACAATATATCGAGAAGCTTTCGCATTGTATTTTCTCCGCCCAAGTAATGAGAAGGCCAAGGCAGACCCTAATACTACAAACAACAAGGGCGCCGCAACAGCAGTGTATATCCAGAAATTGCGCTGTCCCGGGATAAACCCATCGCTCATGCTAAAGAGTCCCGAAACGAAAGTGAGGGGCAAAAATACGAGACCGATATATGTAAGATATCTCACATTGACACTCTCTTTGATCGACTGGCGTGCATCCACAAGCTGTATGACGGTCCCGGCCATGGGGAGAATAAGTTCGAGATAGCGGCAGGAGTGATCGATCTCGGAGGCGAGATATCGAAAGTCATCCCGGAGAGCTACGTATTGGTCTACCTTGTTGATAGCATTGGATGACTGCGAGCCCAACAGCTGCTTATCCAGAAATAGCTCCACGAGGCACAGCTTGTGCGATGACTGTTTGCAGCGTCGCCGCCACCGCTGAAGTTCGTCGAGGTCGGCTTCGAGAGGCACACGCGAGGTGTGATAGAACGAGTATTCGTAGTGCTTCAAGTACGAGTTCAGCAGGCGCAGATAGAGCATCTACTCAGCTGCTATCACGCGGAGAGCATAGTAGCCCAGGCTTACTATCGAAGGCTGACAGGGGTCGAAAGCTGGCGGGGCTTTCACAGAGTACCGAAGAAGCAGGTGCAGGAGTGACTGATGTTTCCACTCAGAATCGAGGCGCTCCTCGTCAGTCACAGAGCAAAATGCTTTGAATGACATCGGCTCTTGGAAATCTTCAAATCCGCCCTGCAAGGGTTGCAGGCATACCTGACCGACATCATCAGAGACTTCTTTGTTGGGTTTTCTGATCGCGGTCGAACCTAACGACGTTGAGTCTAGGAGGATCAAGCCTGCGCATATTGCAACAGGGCTGGCGGTCCCTGCAGGTGCCAGCCACCTGCGTAGTAGTTGACCTAGGCTATTACGGCCCGTGCGCACCTGTCATACAGGCTATATAAGGGGCTGTTGGCCGCAGGCCAACCTACCTACCTACTTCATCCTACATACCTTATATATAGACATTCTACTTCATACCCTCTATTTCAGTCAATTCAGTTATTTTCAGCTATGTAGGCCTATTTGTTGTTTTTGTTATTGTTGTTGTTTCAGTTGTTTTTGCTGTTTTTCTTCTATCCCGACGCATTGGTGTCTTTGGTAAGGCTCTTTTAGTTGTTTTTGTTGGTTGGCTTCGCCTCCCGACGCAATGGTGTCCTCGGTGAGGCTCTTTTAGTTGTTTTTGTTGGTTGGCTTCGCCTCCCGACGCAATATTGGGGCAAGGTCAGGGTTAAC